AGCGGTACAACAGTATACCATACAGTACAAAATCTTGTACTGTTTTTGGATACAGAACAACGTTGGAGGCGGGGTGCACAGGAACGTCCTGTTTGCATTTTGGCTCCACCGGAATGAAAAAGGAAAGCCGCACAAGGCCCGTCCGCAACCCACAACACGTCATGCGGCGGGCCGTTGAACCATCGGCCAATCAAAAATGGGGCTGCAACAAGAAGGGCTGACGGGGGCCAAAGTGCTCAAGGACCCGAAACGTTATTGAAGCCATTCCATTTGGCCCCGTTGGACGGTGAAATGCCGTGCAGCGGCAAACATTTGGGCAGGCGCCGGGGTGCGACATACCAGCTTCCATCACCAAAACGGCACAACAGAAAACACGTCACATGAGATGCGTGCCACGCGCCGCACAGGCCCCAAAACACACAGGAAAGCTCAAACCCACGGATTCGAGCAGCACCTTCGGGAAGACGACGGGAACGGTGAAGAGCACCACCACGTGTCGCACGCTGGCTGGCAGGTTCCGTATCCTGCCGCACACCGCGTCCCACGTCTCCTCCCTCATGACCTGCTTCATGGACCTCTCCGCGCGTGTGTCCGCGCCCACCAGGGCCACATCCGCGCCCAGCATCTTTACGAAGCAGTGTGCCCTGTGGGGGCAGCCGGCCGAGGGCTGCGGGCCCCCGAACAGGTCGCTCTCGCCGCGCTCCACCATGCCCGCCGTCACGTGCTGCTGGAACAGGAGGTAGAACTTGCAGGCGGCCTGGTAGATGCCCTCGAGGACGGGGCAGCGAAGCAGGTCGTCCGGGTAGGAGCCCCAGCCGTCGAAGATGTCTGTGGTCGCAAGAAGGGTGTGTTCGTACGACATGCTCTCTGGAACTACGCAAGATTCGGTTTGCAGGGCTGAACGGCAGGGCAAGAGGTTGAATTTTTACCGTTAGCATGCGATTGGCATATGATTTCTTTTGCTTATTTTATTTACTTTACCACTTTATAGCTTGGAAAAGAGAGGACAATGAGGCACGTTTTGTGTATCGCTGTGACCGGGCATTCGCCCATGCAGTTAGTCCCAAGAGGCAGGACAAAACCATGTATTTGTTCCATGACACGTGGTGACTCAAATCACACGTAATGCAGCCAGTAGTGCAGCGATTAGCGTCAATAGCGCCAGGAATAATGAAACTCTCGGCAACGCCGTCTGCATGCCTTGCAGGCCGATTGCAAGGAGAAGAAAATGCAACGTTTCGAGTTCAGCTGGGCATATTCACGACTTTTCTGATTTTTCTAGATCCGAGTTAATTGCCAGTATTGCACCTTCCTTGTGGACTAACTGCACAGCAAAGGGATGCTGATCTTTTTGCCCAAACAATGGATCTTCTGCCGAACCATACCCTGCCTGTTGGTATGGTTGACGGTGTTGAGCTAGCTGAGCTGGATGGAATTTGGCATCTGAGTCGTTTGCCTCTCAACATTTGGGATCCACAAGGTTGAAGCACCGAAGACACACGAAGGCAAGCTCCCACACGAAGCCTTACCCCTTCTCGTTTTAGTTGATTAGAACAAACAAGCTACAAATTTCATATGCTTTGATTGCCAGGGCCCCCTTCGGAGTGCTGTTCTTCTCCTTTTTTGAGACTGAGGACTGTTTTGGATTCGAACACAACTAGGGGCCTTTACATCGCCCTTGCATTCTCTTGCTAGGTGGCACAAGGCCCATATCTTGTGACAGGATGGGGGAGGCAGCTGTACACTGAAATGTGGTGCAATATTTTTGAAAAAAGGAGAAAAAAACGCCTCATTCCTGCACGGACCGGCAGGGGCAAGTGTGGCGCCATATCATTGTTTATGGACAAAACAGTCATCGGCAAGTTTGGTTGGGCGCTGGGTCACCTATTTAGTTGCACATGTGGTGTGTTCTCCCTCTTGGCATTGCTGTCATTTCTCTCAAGGAATCCTCCATGACTTCCATCACCGCGCTGCACCTTTGACAAATCCCCACACCACCCCGTGGCCGCCAATCCAACCCCATTCCGACCGCCACCCCACACGGCATGAAATTAGTCGCTCTGTCTTTTCCGTGAAGATCCCTTCCTGCTTCGGCACCCAAACCCTGAGCCACTCACCCACTCACCCACGTTGGCCTTGTCAGCGGAAGAAGAAGGGATCTTCACGGAGAAGACAGGGGGGCTAATAGGCATAAAATTACTCCCCGTTCTTGTTTGCTGAGATTCGGTTCTTGTTTTCGGACACCCTCAACCCCAACTACTGATCCACGCACCGGGACTGGCCTTGTCAGCGGAACAAGCACCGAATCTCAGCAAACAAGAACGGGGAGTAATATATTCTCGGGCTAACATGTTCCCACCACCCACGCACCGTGATCGTCCCACAGCATGACGCTGGGTATGGTGGCCAGCGCCTCGCGCATGCCACCCCCCATGAAGTGGCCGCAGTAGTGCCCAAAGTAGAAGGCCTCCACCTCCTCCCGCATGTACTCCGTGAAGGGCGCGCCCTGGCGCGCCCCCCGCGACCGCAGCGCCGCCCACTCCCTCACCAGCGGCGTCCGGAACACCTCGTCGTTGTACAGCTGGTCCCCGCCGCCCACCAGGGCATGGATCGGACTGGCCCTGTGGCGACGGACCAGATCTCCCCACAGGGGCTGATCATTGCCCCCCCATTCTTCGGGATCCGCCCTCAGAGAAAATCCCGAGCAGGAATAAGCCGCCCACCGCCAGGTCTGACGTGAACCCGGCAGGAAGAATTCCCACGCGGGGGGGACGCCACACGCCGGGCTCAGAGACACCCAGTACTTTATGCGCCGCTGGGCGGGGGAGAGCGGCAGCGCGATGTCGAAGCGCCAGAAGTTGTAGTCGGCGAAGGAGTCGATGATCCTCCCGGTGATCGAGTGCTCGCCGTCGACGTCGATGTAGGCCAGGGCGGGGGGCTGGGGCGCGGTGATGAAGGGTTTGCAGATGAAGAGGACGGAGGCAGACCATTTCGGGGGAAAGGGGTCGTCGAAGGCACAGGTGCCCAGGCGGAGGAAGGGGCCGCAGGTGGGGTGCGTGTAGAGGTATTGGGGGGCCCTGCGGGCGGGCATCCTGGCCGGCGGGCTGCGCGGCCGGTCTGGCCGGCCGCGCGGGCGCCTGCAGAGGAATGTGGAAAGCTCAGTGGGAGAAACCAAAATTTCAACAGTGCGCACACTGCAAAACATGCTGATGAGTGGGGATCGATGTGGAGAGAGCATGCTTTTGCATTTTCCGTCTTGATTGTGGACGTCTTGAGTGTGCCCCAGGTAAGATAGGACACCTTCTTCGGCAGCACGGGCCTCCGTAATTTTAAGGAGTCACTCTTATCGAGGTGATGGAGGGTTTGGGAGTGATTAACTGGGAGAGTAGGTAACTGAGTTATTGCATTGACCTTGAAACTTGACTGAAACAAAGCAATTGGGCACTTCTCTTGTGAATCTCAAACAAAGGGCCTCAAAGAAAAAGAGTTTTCCTGCACCATTTGCTGAGATGGAACGAAAGGTGCTGGCATTGCATGTCACTGGACAGAAGCACTGCTGAATCGCTTGGCATGTGTAGGTGCGAAGGACACATAACAGTGGCAGCTACTCACTGGATGCCAATTCCGAATGTTGAAGTTGTATCTGTTGCTGGAATGCTGCGCTCATAAGCCTCTTGTCCTGTCTTCTCATGACAGGACAAGAGCCCAAAAGACCCAAGCACAGAAGGGGATCCGCAAAACCTTGTGCGTGTTTTTCCACATCGTCGCTCTGTACGGAGCAGGAACTCAATTGCTACGCTCAGATTGCCCCAAACAATGTCCTTCCACTTTGAGAATGTTTGGGGTTCCAGAACACCGCATCCTGCAGTCTGCCTGATTCAGCCAGCTCCTTTCTGCTGCAGGCTTGAGGCACCCTCTGAATAGAGACAAATTGCAAGCATGGCTAGCTTCATAACCCCTCCTCTTGCTCTGCCACCCAGCCTGGGGATTAGTCGAGTGGCCCGGCTGCCTTGCCACTCATCATTCGAAACGATAGCCCGCATGGCTCCCACGCCCAGCAGAGTGCAATAGGGTGGTTTGGGCACCTGGGGGGAACCTCCCCACAGTCCAAACCCTACAGCCGCGTCCCCCGCAAATGGCCCGGGTCCTTGCCGCTGTTCTTCATCCCCTGTCAACTTCCACAGCTGCCTCTCTCCGAGGACGCCGCTCTGGACAGCCCGACGGCCCCTGCCTCGGAAATTGTACAGTTTCGGCCAGCGAATTCCGTACTTCACCGTCACCACATGGCCAACGCGGGGCGCATGCTCAGGGCGCGTAAGGTGCCGAGCGGGTGCGGCAAGGCAACGGAGTCCAATTTCACGCACCCCGCCGCTTCCTAGCCGCCTCATCGCTTTTCCCGCCGTCTTCCAGCACATCACGAGTCGGCACCCCCTCGGGCGCCACGCCCCCCTTCCGCGACCACGCCTCCCAGGCCGACATCCGCACCCCGCCTAGCGGCCGGCAGTCGTGGCCGCCAGCGCCGCGGCGAGCCGACCCAACCCCTCCTCCCCGACTCCCCTGCATCCCATTCGGATCCCAGCGTGAATCGCCGGCGAGCCTTGACGCACACCCGCAGGGACGCTGCGATCGGCCGCGCGAACGCCGCGCCTCGATCTCCGCCCGCGCCCCTCCCGACCCCTCGCCGCCTCCGGCCGCCCATGCCGGCGCCCCACGCACGCGGATGCGCCCCGCCCTCCCATTCCAGCAGCAGGGGCGCTCCGACGGACTCTCGGGCACCCTCACCTGGAGCCCGTTGATCAGCCGGCGCCCCACGGACGCAGAAGAGCCGCCATTACGCCCCGCTCGCGGTCACCGCCCAAGGGAGTATCGACGCGAGCCCGGGTCCTGCCGTAGTACCTCGCTCCCCTTGCACGAGCAGGCCTCGCTGAGGGCGACCCCCACCCGGTGCCGGCCATCTGGTCATTTTCAAGGCCCCACGAAGCGCCCCGGCGGTCGTACGTGGGCCGCGTGGAGTCAGTCCTATACAGTCACACATATTTGTGGAGCTTCTGAGTGAGTGGGTGGCGAATGGGGCCATGAGGGGTTGTACAGAGGTTGCGTGGGGCGTACAGGCGAGGCGGATGTGGCGCAGGTCAGAGGCGCGGGCAGGTCAGAGAGCGTTTGACCGGTACCCCAGGGGTGACCCGCGGCCTGCGGACGCGCTTGCCAGACGGACACGTGGGGGCCCGTTTCTCGCTGAATGGGGCCGTCAGCCCTGCGCAACGTCGGCATTGCATTATGGGGAGGGAGCGGCGTGGGGTGGCCCGTGGCAGATTTTGTCCACACCGTTACATGATGCACATCGTGCACGTCGCGGTGGGGGGGTGTTGGGCGATGCTGGGCGGACGGGGATGACATGCTTGGCAGGAGTGAGATGACTGGGTGCGGTGGAGTCGCGGATGCGCTCAGTACATCGTTACGTCCTGCACATCACTGCTGGCGTTAGGCACAGACAGGGTTTGAGGCGCAGTTGTCAGCCCCCATCTGCAGCGTGGATGCGGCAGAGGTGAGATGACGAGGAAAGGCAGTGGCGCTTGGACGATGTGACACACGAGCGGGTAAGGATTGGAAAAGGAGTCACGGGCGGCTCGCGCTTGCGGAAGGGAACAGAAGCAGTCATCGGCGGCGCTCGAAGCGATATCGACATTTCGAGTGATCCATTTTTGCACATGTTGGTGCGAAGTCCCATCGCCAGGGAGGGCTGGACGACACAGAATGGTGGCTTCCTATTCGTGCCACCCTGAACAGCCTGCTATTGCGGCTGCAATCCGGGGACTTGCGGATTTTCCTCCACAGAGCTGAAACGGTTAGATTCTTTGGTTTCTGAGATCCAAAGATCCAAATATCAATTGTCAATGACATGACGAGTAAAACTGCACAAAGAGGCACCTGCGAGGAGGAAGTGCAGCCTTGTGAAAGCCAGCATGTACCAACCAGTGCATGGAAACGCGAGTGACAGGTTCAGAAGGCCTCCGGGCGCTTTGGTTTCTGAGATCCAAAGATCCAAATATCAATTGTCAATGACATGACGAGTAAAACTGCACAAAGAGGCACCTGTGAGGAGGAAGTGCAGCCTTGTGATAGCCAGGATGTACCAACCAGTGCATGGTCCACAGCTAGGATGTGCGCTTGTCCAAGTCTCCGCAGCGAATGGCGTTTGGTCTTCGTACAACAGCAAGCAACGCAGGGCCACAAGACAACCCGTAGCTTGCGACAGAAGGGCCGCAAGATATATCCTGGGGCTCTCTGGAAGGCAAATGCCGGCTGATCAGCGCGTCTCCTCGCGAGGAGACGCCGGGATGCTAAGAAAGCACCTGGGCGTGCTAGCCTGCGAAAACTGAATCGTCTTGGGGCGTTGAGCGCCATGGCGGTGGCGTCAACGCAACCGGTGGAGTGGAGGCGTCATGGTCCATAACTCACGCAGGCAGTGTGGCCGCCTGCCCCACCACCCGAGCAGGCGAGCACATCTGCGTTGCTCATTTGCGTCGCTGGCAGAGGAGAGGGCCCAAGGAGATCCAAACCCAAGCAGCGGCGCTTTGTGCGCGCTTGCCTCGCCCCGCCTTGCGGAACATTGACGGTTGCGATCGAGATGCGGCCGCGGACGGGAATGCATCGCTTGGCAGAGGGTCTGCTTGCGAAACGCCGGCGTTTGGACGGGGCTTTCACGGCGATGCGGATCAGGTCTCGCTGTTCTTACCCGACGACTGGGCATCACCGCCGTGAGAGATTGACGGTTGTGTGGTGTCGGTCCCCTGGCTCCGGCAAACGGGCGCCACGCTGGCGCCACTGGCCGTGTGGGGAAACGCGTGCGCAGGCCACGGCTCGACCCAACCCTTTGGAAGCACCAACCCTTCGGGTGCCAACCGCTCTGACGAGGGCCTGTGGGCCGCTGAGCGTTCCGCAGGGCCGAACGGCTGCAGGCCTGGCCAAAATTCGCTCGCACGTTCTTCCTCAGCCGCATCCGGGGGTGCCAAGTGTGGCCTGTCAGACCCGGTGTGAACTGGAACGCATGGAGATTCAAACCGCAGCACATGAGGTTGACCTGTCGAGTGCATTTGTGTGCTGTTCAGGATGGCAGCATGAGCCAGTGCCGCAAGTTTTACGGGGTCACGCATGTGGATGCGAAGTCCCTCGAGAAGGCTCGCAGACGGAAGAGTGTTTACTGGCCCCGGAGTCATTCTGACATAGGCAACCTCTACATGGTGGATTAAATTCTTGCTATATACGAAGAAGGCACGCTTGTATGCATGACTCAAAAGTCGGCATTGACAGTGGGAGTCATTGCGGATGAAAGTGCGAGGAAGTATCTGTTCGCTATCACGGGCGTCGGTTGTGTCGGCAGCACTCAATTGTGTGGGTTGCACTTTGCCATCGCTGAGTGTTTGTTGTGTCGTGTGGCAGGTGACCGCTCCAAGAGCAGCGTTCTTCACTGGCGCCAAGTCTGCCTTTCTTGACGCCATCTAATGCTGTGAGAACTTTTGAACGCGGACAAACTGGTTGTGGGGCAGGCTTGGCAGCAAGGGCGATTAGGAGCCATCCTGCACGAGGAGCCTCTGGGGTACTAGCAAGTCTCGAGTGTGTACACCCACAGCCTAGGTACATTTGGTACCCACATTCTCTTATTGATTTGTTGTTTCAGCCGTTGTTGGATATTGGGCAGGGTTGCATTGGCGAAAGCTTCGGGCGTCCTGGAAAACCTCGATGAAACGGGCTCTGGATACATTTGCATGTCTTGCTCCTTGTTTGCATACTTGTGGGTGCTGTGGCTGTGCACATGTTTTGACGTTTCCCTTACTGATCATAACCATCCTCAGGAAGTCAGTGCCCACATTTTGTGAGGCTCTGTGGACGCGCACCCCAATGGAAAACAACTCGAAGTCAATGGATCTGATGTTCTGTGCAATTTCCTCATTCTGACACAATGCGCAAAGCACGCCCTGCGTGCATCGAAGGGTCACCGCAATTGAAAATGGCCAAAATGGGCGATGGTCAGCATGAGCCATGTTACATGACCATACTTGCCCTTTCACACACCAGAGTGCGGGGAGCTGGGAAAGGTGATATCCAGACTATCTCCTCAACAGCCCCAGGTCGACGAGCTGCTTGTACAGGTCGTCGGCCGCCGTTTGGCCGTGTGTCGGGCCGTCGAGGGGCCGTGCGGCAGCCTCAATAGCCTGCAACAAAACGCAATTGCAACTTCACGAAATGGCGAACGCCTAGCTGGGTCAGCCCACCGACACAAAGATATCGCCACAAAGATAAAACGATCACAAAGATACCAAAGACATATCAAAGGTCTAGACACCATGCAATCATCATTGTTTGACATCAAAGGTCTGGACCACACGCAAAGATCTTGACATCATCACAAGTGGTTTGTTCCACCGGCGTGCACTCATCAAATGGCCGCTGGACACTGTGATGCAGACGCAAAGGCTGTGCCGCACCCTACATTGTCAAAAAACGGCTTCATCTCCTCAGGCCTCATGTAGTGCTGCACGACAGTGTCCGCATGGAAGAGGGGTATAGCGCGGTAGGGCCGCACGCCCTCATCGTGGACAGGCACGACGGGCGCCTCCAGAACGCACATCTCGAGGCCACAGAGGTGAATTCCGAAAGGAGCGTCCTGTAGACGCACAATGCCCTGTCAGTCGTTGCCAGCCCTCGTCGCCGCCTCTGTGGCACGTTTGCTGCTGTACACCATTGCGATGCGTTTTCAAAGCTTGCCATGCCACGGAATCTTTATCATGAACAATGCAACACAGTTCATGTCAATTGCACCTACAATTACGTAACCTTGGTAATGACAATCAAACAGCAGTGGTAATAATGACACGTAAGTGTGTCATTGACAACCTGGCACGCAATGCCACAACAGCAGTAGTCATAACAATGGCAAATGTTAAGGAGGGATGAAATTGCGAAACGTAGTCCTTGTTTTTGGTTAACTCTGCTGCCTCTCAGGTAGCGTGATTGGGCGCAGTTCATTATTATCCTCTCATGCAGCTGCAGCGAATCATCAGCCAACAACTCCTTTTCGGGTGCCCAGGAGACAGCAGACAAATGCAATGCAGAACAAGGGATTCGCCCACAAGCATCTGGAACATTCTTTGAAGATGTGTGGCAAACGCCCAGAAATGGGCAATGCACACACTGTGGATCACGTGCCAGATGTTTTTAAAATGCCTCCCATGCAACAAAGTGGTTCCATGGGATGCAGACAACACACGCAAAGCATCCTTACAAGCATGTGCGCCACTGCAGTGGGTCTGCCTATAAGCTCCGTCAATTTACTGGACAGGATGTCCCCTGCACGTCTATGTGTCTTCCTTAATCACAGTGCACCGTTGCAAAACAGCAGCAGTTCGCGTTCCCTAAGAGTTTCCGGCTGCTCGCAGAGTCGCCGCTGCGTTGGGAGTGCGCACTTATGAGTTTCGGAAATGCGCAACACCACTTAAATTAAGTGGTAATCATTAAATGATTTGCCATCAAACCACTTCCATCGTGGTTGCCAACATGACTTTTCATGATCGCCAAACATCATTACGCTGTTCAAAATGTCATCGTTCAGGATTTGGCACACATACGCAACTTGGGCCAGGCACGCTGTCGCCCTCTGGTGCTTGCAGGTGTTCAGGCAATGCTTCGTCGAGCAAGTTGTGTCACATCCCGTGTGTTATCACACGATATCTGCACAAAATATTCTCAATCCCAGCCCAAAATTCATAGATTTACTATCTGAACGCATTCGACACTCCATTTTTACGCTCACCAGAAGCCGGTAGTCTGGCAGCGCCCTTGCCAGCAATGCTCTGCACAAGTCTCGAGACAGGGCGAACCCACACCCAGAGGCAAATGGAGGGTAGTAATCCAGCGGGTACTGTGGAGCATGACACACAAACATGGGCAACAGCCTACTTATCTTTGCAACTGCACAACCGATGGTACTGACCTTGCTGTCGTACATCTTACTGCACGCTGCTGTCAGCCGTTGTCCCTTCAACATTATCAGTGTAAACCGCAGTTCACATTTTTTGCCATATTTACACATCAAATGCAAAAAACGGCACAACCATCACCACGTTCAAGCTGCAAAGCATCAATATACAATGTAAACATACAGCCACTACCATGAAGAGAATTGTGTCCTACAATCCACAGCAAGTACTTGACAAAAGCCCTATGAAGTACTGGGCGAAATTGCTCCTGTCAATGCTGCGACCGTACTTGTGCGAAGAAGTCCGTCATTCCACACGACAACATGACTAATTAAAGAGCCATTTGAAGGAAGCAGAATTTCCTGCCCGTTCTGGATGCCTTCCAAAGCCGTGGGCCAGCTATTCAATATGGATCAGCGAGTGGATGCACCTGCTCTGGTGGCATGTGGCTCTTGTTGCGTGGGTCGCGGATGGGCTGTGTAAATGGTCGCCCGGGACCCATGTTCCAGATGTAGCCCCAGTAGAAACGCTCTGATGGCCACTGAATCTGCATTCCGCATAATTGATCACAGCGTCAGGCGCATCAAAAAGGGGACAATCAGCCCGTTTTCCGTGCTTCGAAAATGAAGTGGCTCGCTCCACCCAATTCTGACAATGCAACAAACAAGGGAGGTGCTCTGGAGACTGGCATCCAAAGAGATCTGTTTTACAATCACTTGGCCTCGTGGTATTCTTCCTGTCGCGGTCATGGTGGTACTTTAAGCCTACTGCTTGACATTGATCCCTTGACACCCCGCCAAGTAAGGGCACCACCTTGTGATGCCACAGCATCACACTTTTTCCCATAGCATTGTGTAGACTATCCTGAGCATGCTGATGGCATTCCTGCACTCACCATTTTCTGCAGTATCAAGTCCAACCTGACAAAGGAGTCGTCATCTGCATGCATGAAGTACCGATACTCATAAGTCATCTCCACCCAGTACAGAAAGAGAAGGACCTGCAAGGGGCACACACAATGCGTGTCACAACGACCGACGCCCATCAGTCAGAAAGCAGTTGTTTGCGCACTGTGCCCATCCATGCCAGCACGTCCTTTTGAATTCCCCAACGTGTTTCTCTTTGTTGTGTGGCATTTCTGCTGTGCAAGAAACTTTCTACATCACCGCCTGTGTTGAGGCGACTTAGTAAAGGTACTGCTCAGGGAGGGACGCCCATTGCACGCCATGTTCTATATATTGCCAAAAGGAGAATCAGGACAACAGGCGTTGGTGAACACCCCCATCTTCCAGTGTCGAAACTTTCTTGGCCATTTAAATTTCGAACAAGTCAACAAAGATGGAATTAGAACATATGTTACGTAATAGTTTTCTGTGTGATGTTAGTTTTGCTTTTGTGTGATCGATGCCTTTATTCACTAACTGTAATTGGGATTTACAGGCTCTGCAATGCGCAGCTCACCTCCAGTGCAACGCACGCACAATTTACGAAGGCCATTACTGTGTTGCGATATTCATGGCAAAGTAGACATACACCGTACACCAGCATATTGCAAGAACATACCATGGAGCAAGACCAGTGGCTTAGCAATCGGACAGTCTATTATGGGGCACTACTCCAGACACAGCGTGGTGCCGCAGATGAAGTTCAGCTGCTGAACGACACCTCCCTCAGCAGCAGTGGCTCAAGAATGTCACTGGTTGACGTCAGCGTGCACAGATGCCAGAATCACCTTTCGCCACAAGTTTCCGTAACCCTCTGGGGCATCAACAAAAGCGATGTCATTGTGCCTTTCCTGCATTGACACAAAATTGTATCACACGGTCAGAGCGCACGTGATGCACAACACGACAACCTGCTGCGAGCCATTCAAGGAACAAATGCTTTGCAGAAGCACTAACATGGAGTGCCAAGTATATATAAGCCAATGGGCTGATTTTGTCCACAGGAAGCTGCTATCGAAATAGTGTTGTTGCAACGGAAAATGCGACTGAAAGTTTGCTGCGAGGCGAATGACAATGTCTAAACAAATAACCATCAGCCACAAGAATTAGTGCAGTAGTGTAGTGTGCTGTACTGTGCATGACCAAAGATTGGGGTACACCATTCTGATGTGAACTACAACATTATATTGTACCGCTGCACTGCAAGTACAATTGCTCACAAACAATGCACCCAGATACATGTCAGGGTGACGCATTGGAGTGGTGTGCCTCACTATTAGTTGGAAACATTGTAACAAATTGCGATAGAATAGGTGGCAACTAGCATCGCCTGAAAATGGCATTCTTGGCCTCGCATTCCAAAACTGTAGTCCATGGTGCTGAAAACGCTTTGGGACGATCGTCAGTAGCCCTGAACACTGTGACATGGCAACATTGCAAGATTCGACTTTGGCCATACATGGGAGTCTCCAACTCACAGCTGGTCCATTTGTGGGCCAAGGATAATCTCTGCTCCAAGTCACTGCAGACTTGGAAACACAGACTTGAAAACACCAAGGTGTGCGAATGGGCACCACAGATTTGTTCACAATCTCAGCCTTCGTGATTGAATAGAGAAGACAGCGATCAATCGGCATGATGCTTGTTCGACAGTTCTGTGCCCATTTGCCAGCGCAGGCAACCATGCAGCCATGCACAATTGCATGCGGCCAAAACAGACACAAGCACTAGTCCGAATGGCACTTGTGGTCGGCTGCATTTCACACCAATTTATGTGCCAAGACTTCTGCCGTTCCACCATACCACAATCAGAATTTTGACTGACTGAAAATTTGCTTGTGAAACATCAGAAGCAATCAGAGCATTCAAACACCACAACCTGTCCGTGGTCCAGATACCTGACCTGTGCTTGTGACCCATGACTCAAAGCACAGTGCAGTGCAGCACTTGAGGGCCAAGGCGGGCTCCAGTCACCTGTTCTTTCTCAGCCTTGGGGTGCCCTTGGGACACTATGAATTTCATGGCTATCCTTGAAGCATCTTCCTCAGGAATGGGGCTCACATGGGAGCGAGCATAAAGGAACCAACTGCAGGAAGAATCATCAGTTCTTCAGTGAGTGATGTTTACAAGTGGCCAAGGCCCCACAACGGCATTTCAGGACAATGTCTCCATGGACTCAGTTCACCAATCAAGGGAGTTCGCAATGCCCACTTGATAGTACACCTTCACTGGGACTTGTCAGCCTGAACAGAACTTCACTCGCTCTACGTTGCTCCATAAAGAACTGATATTGTGTCTCGCACGTTTGGCCTATTGGTGTGTGAAGCGGAATCATGTGTGCATGGGCACTGCCTGCACATGGGCTTGTGCCAGCCCTGCAACCCCACAACTTCAAGGACACTACGGTTCGCAGCAGCCCAAGCCTGTGTCCAATGTCTGCTGCAGCCTCTTAGATGCAAGGCACGCACCCGGCCAGTTTGCGATATCCCAATCAAAGCAGAATTGCACATCCCCCAAACGTCCCTCGTTCAAGCCCTCTCCCGCCTCATGTAGATCAACACAACCCCACACCGTGCTGAAATTTTAAGATTCCGCAGCAGAAGTAACTCGGGATTGGGGCGCAGGGGAAAGAGCTCCTGGTTTGATGACAGGTGCAACAAGCACTTTGTCTCCGCCTCCTTCCATTGTCAGCGCTGCTGGTGCAATAAACTCGCCCCCCAATTCCCAAACTCGAATGTCATCCGTACATCGCCATCCCCCTCCCTGCAGACCAGCATCTCAGCTCGCGGCATCCAGGAGTGTGCTCGCCCGGCGCGTTCCGGCGCCTCTCACCGTCCTCGCATTAAGATCGACCCGCTATCCCAACGCTTTTCGCTGATCGCAACCCGTTCTCCTGGGACGTCACCTTTTGCGGATTGCACGCCTCCGATCCACGTAGTCTCCAGCGCTGCATACGCCCACGATCAAGTCGACGAAGCGGCCGGAAGACATCTCGGCCAGAGCGGCGAGCCGCGTGGCCTGTGTCCCGGCTGGTTGCCCCTGGGGCCTGGAGGGAGAGCAGGAGGAATACTGTTTTGAATACAAGAAGAAAGAAGAAATGATAAGAAAGAAAAAAATGAAAAAAGAAAAAGAAGAGGAGGGAAAAGAGGAAAAGAAGGAATGCAAAGATAAAACGATCGCAGAAAAAAAAATGTGAGGTGGGTATCGCCACTGTGCAGTACTTTGGATGCTGTACAAACCATCGTGGACAATGATGTTTTCGGTTCTCTCTCAGTGACATGAGGAGCTTACGGCTGTCTCCTTGCCCTTGATAAGTAGTTACTCTTGAATTGAACTGAACTTGAAGTGCTGTGGGGGTTGGTGTTTTGCCAATCATCTTGAGGTCAGTGCAGACCGCTAGTAAGGGGATGCTATGTGATTATTTGAGTTCAGACGTGACATGACCAATGTGTCGAAATTTTCACGTTGCTTGTAAGAATGCTCATTCATTCATTCCTGAATTGAATAGAAACAGGTCCTTTTCAAGCCAAAACACTGTGGTTGGACTTCAGCCGGTGCGGTGACTTGGGCTCCCATAGTCCATAGAAGCCTAATCTCCTGGTGTTTTCTGAGAAGCAAAGTCCATGA